GACCAGTGCTGTGTTCCTATGCATCCTTTCTGCTGGAGTTTACTGTACATATATATTAAGCATCTATATTAAGGTTGGGGACAGTTTTGAGAGTTTTTTGAGAGTTTTTCTCACACTGTCCAGTGACTTTCTGCCTCTCTCTTTGACCTAGCATGATTTCATGCTTTTGCTCATCCATTAAGATGTGTCTTAAGCACCAGTGATGTACTAAGTATTTACTGCCTTCAGTGATAAGAAAGACAGAGGTGAATAGCAAGTAATAACAGAATGATTGTGTAAGGGCAGCGGGACAGGAAAGTGTGGCTGAGCCTGGCTTTGCCTAGGCTGGGGAAGGGGCTGGAAGAGTTGGGAATGGTTTCACAGGTAAGACAGAGGCAGTGTGATGAAAGATGACGATGTGTGTCTTGGAGTCACACTCATGGTTGAAGCCTAGTTGTGCCACTCATTAGCCTAATGCAGGATTGAGTGACTTCCTCTCTGAACTTGAGACCCTTCATTTGCAACATGCAGCATCTGCCTACCTCTCCAGGTTGTCTTGAGTTCACTTCAGATTGTGTGGCTCCTGATGCTAGTGCTCCATCAGTTCCCGGTGTGACTGTGCTCCCCTTGACCCCATCTCTGGGCACACTAACACTTTCCCTTGTGTGTGTTCACTGTGGCAAGCTAGTCAACCAGTATACTGATGATTCTGTCGGGGTAGATAGTTTTGCCTACTGTATTTCTATCTTCTTTTAGATGTGTGTATCCCTTGAATTCAGTGTCATTTGTTTTTTCATCTTGACATTGCTAGTGACAGTGTGTGTATGTAGAAGTCTGTATTCTAGAGAATGTGTGGAATTACAATAATGTAACTGAGCTTTTGAAGCTTTTGAAGATTCACGTCATAAAGCTAGCAGTAGATGGAGATAGACCTAGAATCCATGCCTTTTGTTTTCCTGGCTTTTTCTTGTCATGTGAACCCTGAGAGCCTGGGAGTGCTGCTGGCTGGGCTCAGAACCTGGCTGAACCTTGCATGGGATGGCTGAGTGGGCAAGAGCCAGGCCTGGGGAGAGCCTTAGGACACACCCTCTCCCCTGCTCCCTCCCTGCTGCCCTGAAGGTATTTATGGGCGTGAAGGCCCACCTGGACACCTGGGAAGAGGCTGGAGCTAGATGGCCAGTTGGAGCTGCTGGAGTTAGAGGAAGGGAAAGGAAGCCCTCTTCTGAGGGAGTGATTTGTAGCTAATGGTAGGGAGGAGGAGCCAGAGGGGTTTCAAGGGAGGGGAAAGACCTAGTAAGGCTGAGAAGACTGTGGAGTCTGTCACAGACTACTTCCCCCTTGGGAACACATCTTGGTACACATCCTTTCCTACCCCCTTCCAAAGCATTCCCCTTTACCTTCTGCTGGGGAGCATGTTCTGTGCTTAATCGGTCAGCTTGGGTTGTAATCTTTGGTTGTGTAGGCAGTCAGAGGGATGAACACACAGGAGGGACTCTGACCTTAACCCCTTCGGACCAGAACAAGTTTAAAGTTTTTGTCCTTGAGTTTTTTTGTTTGTTTGTTTGCTTTTTGAATGTTCTTTCATTAAAAAGAAAGCAGTGTTCAGAGGGACTAGAATCCAGCAGCCTTAAAGAAGCAGAAGTTCCAGGGTGTGGGTAGTACACTTGTGTGTGGTAGCATCAACCCAAGAGTGACTGAAAATTCCGAGATGCAACAACACCCAGACCTGTGGAACCAGCCCCAACAGGATATGGTCCAAAGGTTATGGTCCCCTCTGGAGCTCAAGCCAGGTGCAGTGTGGGTACCCTGTAGAGTAGCCTTGTGAAGTCTCTGCTGCCGGGATAATGGACAGGAGGGACTCGGAGCTCTGGCTGCTGAAGAGTCATAAAATTCCAGCTCATTTTCCTCATTTATTTATGAGATCTGCGATGAGAATTTGAGCTCAAATCCCTGTTACCTCACAGAGCCCCTTCCTTGAAAATTGCTAAGTCCTGTGTAATCCACTGTTAAAAGAAAAAGGTGGGGGGGTGGTAGAGGTGAAGCCAAGCCAGAAGATCTCCCATGTATAAAGTATTGCTGTGTCTTGTTAGGCAAAAACAAAACCAAATGCCCTTGGAGGAGGAATGTCACCTTCCTTTTCTACATTATAACCCACAGCTTGAAGCTCAGCCCCCAGGGTGACACACGGGGTGCAGAGTATCAGTGGCAGAGGCTGAGTCAGATCACAGTTTATTCTAGACAATGCTGCACCTTGGGATTCTGGGACATAAGTGCTATTCTTGACCATCTTGTATTATATGGAGCCTAGGAAGAAACTTTTTTTTTTTTAACCAACATATGGACTCTCCAGTTTTGACTAGAAATGGCTTTCATACTCAACATTAATTTTATGTCCAGCAGGATATATTGCTTTATCTGGGACTTAGTAAGGAAAGGGGCTTGTAACATTTGTGTTCTTAGAAACAGACCAACCCATAGTTTTGTTTACATGTCGAGGGTTTAGTTTGTTTCTTCTCCCTTCCCCTCCTGTCCCTTCCCCACCTCCCTCCTTTCTTGCTGGTTTGGCTTGGCTTGAATTTCTGGTCCAGTTGTTTCTCCCACTCCTTGGAGAGCCAAAAGTTTCCTTCAGCACCTGAAAGAAGGATTCCCTTTGGACCTTTTTTGGCCACAAATCTGTGAAAAATTGAAATCTCATGTTACAACTTGGTTTTGAAGCTTTTTACAACTTTTCATTTTGAGAAGGAGGAAATGTCACTTTTCCCTCCCTTCCTCCCTCCCTTGTTGTGTTTTGTTTTGTTTTGTTTCGTTTCGATTCGTTTTGTTTGTATTCTGAGACCTGGCCTCTGTAGCCCAGGCTGGTCTCTGGAACTGACTTTGTAGCCTAGTCTGATCTTGAGCTAGTGATTCTCCTGCCTTAGCCTCCTAAGTGTAGAGATCATAGGAGAGAGCCATCATACTCCTCCTCGTGCCTGCTCTTGACCAGGTATGGCAACCCTCTAAAAGAAGTGTAGTTAGTTCATTTTACAGAAGAGAAACCTGCAGCTCAAAGAGGTTGAGTGACATCCAAGACTGTTCATGCAGAGCAGAGCTAGAATTCAAAGCAGCTCAGACTGAAAAAACACACAGGACTTTGTGTTTCTGTTTTTCTTTGTTTTTTTAACCTTTAAAAGACATGTCTTATTTTATTGGTTGCAGAAGATTGTCCTGTCAAGTATATAAAACATACAAAGCTTTTCAGGCATTATAAAGCCTGAAGCTTAGCAGAGTCAGTAACTACAGAACAGAGTCCAGGGAAGAGAAAGTGGAGCTCTTCCTGTCAGGTGCCATGTTTATAAGAAGACTAGCCCTTGTGCAAAGTCATTTGTAAACTGATTTATAACAGCAAGGATTGATGGAATCAGCTCCTACCCAATCTCTTACAATTTTTGCGGGGGTTCTTTTCAGATGGGGTCTCCTTGAAGTCCCAGCAGGCCTGGAACTCACTACATAGGTTGACGTTGAGCTCTCAGAGAGTTTCATGCCTCTGCCTCCCAAGTGCTGAAATTAAAGGCTTGCGACATCACACACAACTCATTTTTTGTTTTTTATGTAGTATTTTTATTAATTCTTTGAGAATGTCATACATGAATATAATGTATTTTTAATATATTCACCCTTCACCCCCCAACTTCCTCATCCCCTTATCTAATGCTCTTTACCATTTGTGCTGTGCCCTTATTAAATACTGAGCTACAGTAGTAAGTGTGGTCTTGCTGATGGTTAATAAACCTTTAGTTGACTGTTAATACTGGAGTCAAGTTTTTAGTTATTTCACCAGAAAACAATGTTGGAGGAATTTAAGAATAAATGTTGGAAAACTGACAGAATGAAGAGATTGGCATTCTCCAGAACATTTAAACAGGAAAGGCCTGGGCTGGCAGCCTGGAATAGTGCTTGGCACAAGTCTAGAAGCTTTTTGCTAAGCAAGTGCAATTCTGTCTTCTCCGTGGTTATATGTTCCTATAATGTTTTCTAATGATGGTTTTTAAAATGTCCATTGTCAGTGTAGCGGCAGTGTGAAGACTGAGGGGCAGAATTTAACTCACAGTCCCTGCCACTTGCAAGTTGAATAAGTTACTTAAACCTTTTAGTGTTTGGTGTCCCCTGCTGAAAAACAGATCACTTACTGTGAGGTATGAGGTAATAATGTGCTTATGACTGTACTTGATGCTTCCTATTGCCGTTTTAATTAACTGAAGCTTAATTAATTTAATTGCGAGATCCAGTAGAGATAATGGGGTAATGGACAGAGGCTAAGGTTGCCATAGTCCAGCCTTCTGCGAATTCTTCCAGGATAAAGAATTCTCTTCAGTTCAGTGACTTAAAGTTCATGCTTTTTAATTTATTCAGTATAGTAGTGGGAAAATCACAGAATTACTTAATTTTTTTTTCTTTTTTTAAAAGCAGAATCTGCTGGGTGTGGTGGCATATGCTTTTCTTTAATCCCAGCACTTGGGAGGCAGTGGCAGACGGAGCTCTGTAAAACTGAGGTCAGCCTGGTCTATATAGCAAGTTCTAAGCCAGCTGGGGCTATAGGAAGACCCTGACTCAAAAAAACATGAAATAAAAAATAAAAACAGAATTTTTCTCTTTAGCCCATACTGGCTCGGAACTCAACATGTAGTTCAGGCTAACTTCAAACTCATAGCAATCCTCCTGCTTCAGCTTCTCCAGTGCTGGGATGATAGGCATGAGCCACCATGTACCTAAAACATGCTCTGATTTAGATTCTTCCAAGTGGTGTTAAATGTAGCCTGTCCTGTAGATGTTTTGCACAGTGGTGATAAAGCTCAGGAAAAAGTCAGAGCTGTGCTAGAGACATGACCGTTGCAGTTGCTGTGGAAAGAGGGCCTCCTGTGCTTAGGCATTAGTTGACACCGGCAAGTCAAAGCCACATTTTGATTCTGTGGCAACAGGAAACTCATTCTTTTGGAAACATAATTTTTTTTACAGTCCTAAACTGCAGCAGTTTTATCCTGTAGGTTCATATGGGAAGGACATTGGAGTGAACCTCTTCAGCATCCCCAGCGGTCCTTCTTGGTGAGTATAGTCTTCATGTTTCTTATGTTAACCCTTGTAGTAATTAGAAGCATGTTGTTTAAGTTGGATTTTGTGAAGGATTCTCCAGGAAGTAATGAAAACCTAAGGACATTGTTCTCTTGATCTGATTTGAAAAAGAGCCCAGTGTGGATATCCTAGGTGGAGTCAGGAAATCTGCCATCTGGACTTGGGGGCAGAATTCTAGAGTGTTATTGCTGAACGGGGTTTCTTTTGAGAGAAAAGTAAATGGAGGCCCAAAGGTTTCCCAAGTTCACAGAGCTACTTGGAGGCAGCTCCAGGATTCCTGGTCTAGCTACTGGTTCCATCAACCACAGCTTTGTCCTAAAGGGTGCAGGTCACCTCAGCTCCATGCAGAAAAGTGCCCGGTAACAATGGAAGTGTTCATTTTTGCCTATTATAGGAGCTGCCTGCCACATGTGGCTCTTGACCACTTCAAATACGTGTATTATAAGCCAGGTGTGGCGGCACATGCCTTTAGTCCCAGCACTCGGGAGGCAGAGGCAGGTGGATCTCTGTGAGTTTGAGGCCAGCCTGGTCTATGTAGCCAGTTCCAGGCCAGCTGGGGCTACAGGGTAGACCTTTTCTCAAAAAAAAAAAAAAAAAAAAAAAGCAATATGTATATTATTGAGTCATTGAATAAATATATTGCCTTATTTCACTTTAATGAATTTATATTGTCATGTGTGGCTGCCATATTGGACAGCCCATCTTTAGAAGCATTGAGAGGAGCAAGGCCCATCCTCACCTCCTCCTCACTGTTACCAGGTGAGTGGCCAAACAGCCCCCCCCCCTTCCTCCACTCTCCTCAGAAGGTGACTCCTGTCAAATGATGCTGGACTAGATTGCTCTCTGAGGTTCCCACTTGTGATTCTTGATCTGACGAGATCTGGCTTTCCACTCATCATCGTAGGACCTTCATCATGGCATGATGCCATCCTGTGCTTCAGTTTCCTCATCTGTCAGTTGAAATTAACACTCTGACCCTCTCAGAGGTGTTGGGAGAAGCTCAAGCTAAAGAATCATGGGAGCAGCAGCCTTTGCAAACTTGGTGTCTAGAAGCATTTGATACTACTTATGGGTAGGCTTTCTTTTTCTAAGATGCTGCAGTTGGATGAACTTGGTGTTTCATTATGGTCTTCATTATGGAACTGGAGACTCAGCCCATAGCTCTTGTGAAACACAAGCTAGAAAGCAAGGTGCTGGTGAGAGACTGCCTATTTGATCAGTAAATGTTTGTGTTAGTCACGTTTCTGTTGCTATGATATGACACCATGACCAAGGCAACTTATAGAAGGCAGAGTTTATTTGGCATATGGTTCTGAGGCATAAGAGTCATCACGGTGGAGAGGCATGGCCGGAGACAGCCAGAACAGAAAGCTGAGTGCTCACATTTTTTTTTTTTTTTTTTTTTTTTTTGGTCTTTTTGAGACAGGGTCTCCCTGTAGCCCCAGCTGTCCTGGAACTCACTATGTAGACCAGGCTGGCCTTGAACTCAGAGATCCGCCTGCCTCTGCCTCCCAAGTGCTGGGACTAAAGGTTTGCACCACCATGCCCGGCGAGCCCTCACATCTTTAAGCAAGAACAGGAAGCAGAAAGAAAAACTGCAAGTGAGGCAAGGCTGTGAACTCTCAAGCCGTCCCCAGTGATGCACGTCCTCCAGCATGGCCACAGCTCCTAAACCTCTGCAAATGGCACCACCAATAGGGGATAAAGTGTTCAAATACTTGGAGCCTGTGGGGGGCGTTCTCATTCAGACCACCACCATGTTAGTGTTCCGACTAGGAAACTAAAGCATATCTCCCGCTGTTGAGGATCGTGGCTGTTTTCATTTTCTCTTTTTTGCCCATTATCTTTAGCCGTGGTAAGTCTCCCTTTGGATGTTTGGTGCTATGTGTTCAGTGAGCAAATCGTCTCATGAGTGTCACTTTTGATACAGCCTCTTTATCAGTGGCTCTTGACTTTACTCCTAGACGATGCTTTTTAGCTGGCAGGCCACAGCTTATCTGTAGGCCTCAGCTCCCTTCAGGGATGTGCCAATAAACTTAAACAAGACATAAAATGTACTTTTTCTACCACAGAGTAAATAGGTCTTGTGCCCTGATATAAGAGAGAGGTGTTACAGCTTGCTCTGGGTAGCAAGGCAGGGTAGCAGCAAACTGGGACCAGGGAAGACAGCTAGATTAGCACTTTGGAAACAAAGTGGCTTAACTGTGGGTGTGCCTGGAAACCCCTGGAATATTATTTTTATTAAATCAGGGACTACTTTATAAATATGGTTTACTATTGTGCTGAGTCTCTTAATTCTTTCAGTGGCACAACAAAAGTTGTGATGTATGCAACAATGCATCTTTTTGTGTTGTATTTTTGTGCTTTGAAAAATGTCTAACGTGCATTCACCACTGTATCCTACACAATGGTTGCATCACCCCAGAAGTCCTCTGTGTTCTGTGCGTTCACTCCTCCTTCCTCTCAGCACCTGACAACCACTTATATTTTTACTGTCTCAATAGTTGGAATTTTTATGGTATATAGCCTTTTCAGAATGGTCTCTTTCACTTAGTAATATGCACTATCACCTGCTAAGGGACGTCTTAGTTGCTTCTAGAGTTTGGCAATTAGGAACAAAGCTACTGTAAATATCCATGAATAAGTTTTCAGTTCATTTGAGTAAATGCCAAAGAATATGATCACTGGATTGTGTGATAAGGCTACACGTAATTTTTAAAGAAGCTATCGGTTTTCTCATTTCTGCCACTGGTGGATGAGGTTCCTCTTTCTCTGTATCCTCATCACTATTTGGTGTTCTCAGTGTTTTTCATTTGGGCCATTCTAGTAGATGTGTAGTAGTATCTCAGTGTCTGAATTTGTAATTCCCAAATGTGATGTGACACCAAACACCTCTTCGTGTACTCACGTGGTGTCTATATGTCTAGTGAGGCAATTTTTTTGCCCATTTTTTAAATCGGGTTGTTAGTTTTCTCATTGTTGGTTTTGTTTCAAATACTAAGGATTGAGCCCAGGGCCTTGGGCCTGCTAGGCAAGTGCTCTACCACTTACTATTGATTTTTAAGAGGTTTTTATTTTGGATAATAGTCCCTTATCAAAAGTTTCTTTTGAAAACATTTTCTCTCCACCTGTGGTTTGTCTTTTCATTCCCTTGACATGGTCTTTGGCAGACCAGATTTTTTTTTTTTTTTCTTAATGGAGTGCAGCTTAGCCGTTTTCTCTTTAATGGATCATCTTTCAGCTCTATCTAAAAAGCCATTGCCATGCTGGTCTTTTCCTGTTGCTGTGATGAGTGAAACATCCTGATGAAAGCAACTTAAGGGTGAAAGGGTTTATTCTGACTCACAGTTCAAGAGTACAGTACATTGTGGTGGGGAAGTCAAGGCAGCAGGAGCTTGAAGATCTGGAACACAGAGAGATGAATGCTGCTGCTCAGCTTTTTTTCCACTTTACAATCCAGGAGCAGCCAAGAAATGGCGCCACCCACAGTGGGTGGGTCTTCCCACCTCAATGGAGTCAAGATAATCCCCCACAGACATGCCCAGAGGCCCTCCCAGGTGATTCTAGAGTGTGGCAAGTTCACAGTTACAGCTAACTGTCACAATATGCAAGTTTACCTACATGTTCCTATGCTGTCTTCTAGTTTCACAGTTTTTCATTTTATAGTTAAGTCTGTCATCAGTGTTGAATTAATTCTTGTGGAGGTTGTAGGATCTGTCTAGTTTTTTTTTTTTTTTAATGTGATTTAGTTCCAATACTTTTGTTGAAAAGACTGTGCTATTGTTACTTATTTTGCTTCTTTTTTGAATGTTAGATGACTGTATTTTATTTTATTTTATTTTATTTTAATTATTTTTTGGTCTTTTTTAGACAGGGTCTCCCTGTAGCCCCAGCTGACCTGGAACTAGCTATGTAGACTAGGCTGGTCTTGAACTCACAGAGATCCACCTGCCTCTGCCTCCCAAGTGCTGGGATTAAAGGTGCGTGCCAACACACCAGACTTGTATTTTATTGTTTAAAATATATTGTTTATTATTTTTATTTTATGTGTGAGTGTATTGTAGGCATGTATGTAATTGTACCCATGTCGTGCAATGCCTGTAGGGGTCAGAATAGGGAATTGGATCCCCTGAAACTAGTTACAGGTAGTTGTTGGCACTGTGTGGATGCTGGGAATCAAACCTGGGTCTCTACAAGAGCAGCCAGTTCTCTTAAACAAAGCCGTCTCTCCAGCCCTTAATTTCAAATTTAATGTGATAATTTCTGCTATATAGGAAAGCAATTGACTTGTATATAGTAACTTTGTGGCTTGCTGAAATTGCTTATTACTTCCAGGATAATATTTGTCAAATATTTTCACATTTCTAGATGATCCTGTCATCTGCGGACAAAGAGAGTTTTGCCCCCCCCCACTCCTGCATATAGAGCTATACGTGTGTGTGCTTGCCATGGCATATACATGGAGGTCAGAGGACAGCTTTTGAGAGTCACTTGTTTCCTTTCACCATATACGTACTGGGGATTGACTCAGGTCATCAGACTTGGTGGTAGCAAGTGCTTTTACCTACTGTACCACCTCACTGGCCCCTGTTTATTTTTATTGCCCTTTCTTATTACATTAGCTAACACTTTTAATACAGTATTGAAAAGCAGTGGCAATCCATCACCAGATAAATGGTTAAAGAAAACATAATATATACACGATTGAATTCTATTTGGCTCTAAAGGAGAATGAAATCATGATGTGTACAGGAAAAATGGATGGCACTGGAGATAATTATGTTAACTGAAATAAGCCAGATTCAAAAAGACAAATATTGCATGTTTTGTCTCATATATAGAATCCAGATTTAAATTTGCATATGCATATATATATGTGCACATATATCAATATATAGGACAGGAAGATAGAAAAAGACCTACAAGAATGGAACAGGAGGTCTAAATAGGGGAGTGGGAAACAGGAGAGGGGG